TTTATATAATACTAGTAGAAAAGCCCGTCCAAGGACGGGATCGGCTAGAGCAGGTGGATTCCTAATTTTATTTCTCACATTCCTTTTTGATACTTAATAATATGTAATCGGAAGCGTTCGAGGTAAAATAACGTTCATGGTCCGTCAGGGATCGATCCCCTTCCGAGCGTTGCAACATTTTACCTTTCGGGTCATTTTATTGATATTTTTTTTAATTAACATTTTTACTTTAAAAGAGGTGAACTTACAATGAATAAATGTCTTTGTAAACAACATTTTTGGTGAAGCAAGCTGAACTATTTTCAAGAAACCTTCCTTGCTTGCTTCCGTGGATTATTTTTATTTTAACACACTTAGAGCTTTTCACCCTAGAAAGAGCAACATATAACTGACCATGGCTAAAAACTGGTTCAGGTAAATAGATGCCAACCATTTCAAGGGTTTGGCCTTGTGATTTATTTATTGTCATAGCGAAGGCTAATTTTACAGGGAACTGTCCCCTTCTGAGAATGAAAGGAATCTCAGAATGTATTGGGGCCAAGTAAACTCTCGGAATAAATACAGATTGATCTACTGCAGTGCCAGTCCGAACTTTTGCAATAATTAAATTAGGTAACAATTTAGTTACTACTAATCTCGTCCCGTTACAAAGACCTCGCTTTGTGTTTAAGTTTCGAAGAAGCATTATGATTGCTCCAACTTTTAGCTTCAGCTTATGAAGTGGCATTCCCGAAGGGTTAAGGCTGTTGAGAAATTCCGGTGGATAGCTCTCATTATCTTCAGGTGTCGCATCATCTATTGAGTCTGAGCTGAAATATGTTATGGAGTCACCTTCAAGGATATCTAAAACTCGGTTGTTGATATCATCAACATCCACATTTCTGGGACAAAGTATAGCCTTATCGGTATACTGTTCAAAGTCAGAAGGAAGCAATTTATCTCCATAAATTTCTTTGACTAAATCGCCATTGCAAACCATTTCAGATGGTATTTCAAATGTATCGGAGTCTAAGCCAAGATCATTTGTTAGCTCGCCATTTCCAAGCTTTAAAAGCCAGGCACTAAACTCTGGGTCAATTGACCTAATATTATTGTCTAATTTCAAAATATTAATTTTTTTCCATAGAGGATGAAATTTAATACTTGATTCTACAATTGCAGCTTGAGTTCCATGTGGAACAACAGGCAAAGTCTGTCGGAAGTCCCCTCCAAAGACAATGGTTTTACCACCAAGTGGTTTTTCATTTTGCATGATTTCTTTCAAGAGATTATTAATGCATCTAAGAGCATCTTTTGGTGCCATGGTAGCTTCATCATAAATTATGACATTTGCTTCTCGAATCTGTTTGGCGTCATCTGAAGTCATTCGCATTATTGATGTAGATGTATCCAACAGAGGAACAGGAAGTTTAAACTGCGAGTGATAGGTTCTTCCACCTTCTAGTAGATTTGCAGCTATTCCTGTTGACGCAACTGGTAATGCAATACCATTGTTGCCACGAATAGTGCTCAGCAGTGTCTTATAAAGAAAAGTCTTGCCACTTCCACCAGGGCCGTCCAAGAAAAATAACCTTTGTGGAAGGCTGTTATCGTCTATTGTAGACATAATTGCTTCAAAAGCTAATTTTTGTTTTGCATTTTGATCGATTTTTTTTTTCGCATTTCATCTGCTTTATTCTTTTCAGCTTCTGCATTATAAGTACTGACAGAAAAATCTGACACGTCAGGTGGAACTGGCAAATCAAAATCCCGGCAACTTTTGCCATTTGCTGTAAAGATATTCTGAATGTCTCGTAGGACACAATCAGTACAATATTGGCAATCTGATGTGTGTCCTTCGTGTAACCTTGCAAAGTCTTCGCATAAAGGCTTTTTGTATTTAGAAAACAGATCAGGGATATTGTGAGGCACAGCTAAAATGCATATATGTGCAAACAATTCCCTTAATTGACGTGGCATTTTTTCACCTGCTGCTTCATGCAATGTATTATCCCAGACTTTATCGTCTTCAAAAAGAGATCGGGCTTGAGCTGCCTCTTTGAAACTTTGGTAATGGATACCGTTAAAAGTTTTCAGATTTTCAAAAAATGTTGCTCCGGATATATGAAGTAATAGCAACCGAAGACAAAATCGTTCACTATCTGATTGAATATTCACAGAGTACATTCTACCAATAGTACTACCTGCTCCTCTCTGTCTTGGGGTCCACTTTCGTAGTCTTTTGTCAAAAACACAATGCTGTGGAATATCTCCATAAAGAATATTTCGCGCGTTTTCATCTACTTGGTTCAGTTTAAACCAAGCCGTCAACGTTGTATCTTTGTTCCCTGCTTGCTGTACAACTTCTTCAATGTTATCTTCATTGAAGCATATTGATTGTTGTCCAGGCAAATGCACCTGTAATCTCATAATTGAGTGGCTCTGCTGATGCATAGGAAAACTAAATAGTCTCCAGCCGGCTTCTGGGGCACTGACGTATCTGGAGTCCATGTGAGATTTGATTTCGTCATGATTCAATGTTGCATGTTCTGTAATGCTTATGTTGGCGCAGTCATGTCCCTTGTACACATATTTAAAGAGGTACTTTACGCTTTTTACAGAAGCACAGCACTCCACGTTAATGTGGCAGTTATATCTTAGACTAAGCATTGGACAGTATGGAACAATCCATGAGTTATCGATATATTTGCCATTTATGATAGCTTCAACGCCATTGTTTCTCCGTTTATATCGTGGATACCCGCTAACATTTACCAAGGTCTCTTCTTGGAATTGTTTAGGGAATTCCTTTGAGCAATGGCCATCAACCATGCAAGGGGAATTTAAATTATGCTCCCCACATGGTCCATGTACCATATGCCTTGTGACTATTTCATACAGCCGAGGACGCGTTTCTTGGTTAGGTATTTCAGCAGAAATAAATTGATCTATTCTTTCAACAGTGTTTGGTTTATCTTCAGGTGTCAATATTATCAGTATATGGGCATGAGGTAATCCCCTTTTTTGAAATTCAATTACATGAATACTTGCAATTGCTTTACCAAAAAAATCATTTTTTTTTAATTTGTTCCAAAAGAACGTCAAGTTTCATTTTAAATACTCGAACTACTAAGTCTGGTCGGTTTTCTACAGATTGGCCCTCTTCTAAGTTTTCAACTATTTCAAGCCATTTCGGATTGCATGTCATCGTGACAAAGAAATCAGGCTTCCCATGTTTTCGAACAATTGCCATGGCGTCCTGATAATTTTGAGCCATGTTTCTTGGGCTACCTTGGAATGAGGATGGAAGAATTACTGCTTTACCTGGCAGCAGTGGTACACCTTGGGCAGCAGCCTCGCTTTGAATATAATCCATTAATCCTGTGTATAATTCAGTGCGCATTTTTTATTTTATTTTGTCTAATATATTGCAGGCGATTGCTTTCCAATTTAACATAAGCATCGACAAAGTACTGTTGGGTTAATTTCCCAGCGCTTAATAAAGGATTAAATTCATCCCTGATTGAAAGTCGATATTCATAATACTGCATCTGAGTAATCCGAGTCCTAGGATTCGCTGCGGGTGCTCTTTGAACATTTCTAACGCATGAGGGGTTATAACTCAGTTTGAGGGTAGGTGTCCAACTTTGGTCCCCATATGGAAATAAGATAGGGTAAACCATTGGTTCTAAGTTTGGATCCAATATTGAGATTCTTTGTGTTTTCCTTTCATTAGGCAAACTACGGCAATGGATTATCAAGTCACGTTCAAGGGGTGGTTCGCCATCAGCATTCTGAAAAATGATAGCAACTTCATTTGAGCGTGGTGCATTGTATCGTCGCTGATCATTTTTTCTGTCTTGGATAATTCCAAGAGATACAATAGACGGTTCAGTATTATTCGCAGTTGCCTCTTGCATACATTCTTTCTCCACCTCGTGGAGCATTTTACATGCATCCGCAAAGGGATTTATGCCAGCAATGTATAAACTTAACAATTTCATCAAATCTGGGTTGCATCCCGAATTTTTGGAGATAATCATTCTTTGTCGTGCTGCTTCATCAGGATCTAAAATGTACAATTGAGCAAAAACTCTTTGATCATCATTTTCAGGATGCAAGGCACCTGAGCGGTGATAAATCTGTCCGTTGATTCGGAAACAATAGGGCCCATATCCAGGAGGAGGTGCAAGGTTTGCTCCCATTGAAGCGAATGCTAGGGCACTGTTGACGGAACGGATGTTTTCCATGAAGTTCTTTGAAAGTTGATGCTTTCCAGTCATTAAACTTTCAAGTAGTTCAGAGGTTTGAATCGGTTCAAGTTCGACTTTTCCTTTGGAACAGCATTTATGAAAAGTTTTACTGTATGTCGTTTGTTCCAATTCGAAATACTTTGCTCTACATTTTGGGCAAACTTGATCAAGTTGGCCACAAAAGTGCAGGGGAATTTGATCTTCCTCGAAACATGTCCCTGTTGGCAAAGGTAGATTATCTCCCTGTCGAATTCTTTGCATCCTCAGCCTACTGCTTTCCCTTTGAAGGGCTCTTTGATTTTCGCTCATATTCATTCGGTATTGCCGTTGTTGTTCATTATGCCGTTCTCTTACGGGTGAATTTAAACGTCTTTGTCGCTGCTGTGCAATACGACGTTGCTTTGCTTCGATGGCCTCAACAATAGAAAGGGCTCTTTAAGGAGACATTGTTTATAAAAATAAAATAATCAAGCTAAATTAAAAAAATAAAATTATGTAAAAAATATTATTCCTCAAATATTCACCGAATAAATTGCCGAAAGCAAAAAATGACTAATAAGGTCAGAATAGAATAAAATAAAGGAAGAAAACAAAAACCAAACAGACCTACAGCCGGCCACGTCACTTAAGTGGGGGGGGGGGGGGGGGGGGGGGGGGGGGGGGGCAAGCCAATCAGGTTTGAACACGTCACACAGAATGGACCAATCCTATTCGGCTTCAACGAACAGACGCTTTATTATATGTGATGATTTACGAACGGAGAAATATGTCCAGAGTAACCTAGTGGACATGGCATCTGCCCGGTAAGCGGAACACTGTGGGTTCGATTCCCATCCCTGGACACTTTATTTTTCCGTTTATCATTACTATTCGCAATTCATATTTTCATACTTCATCCCTAAGAATAGAAATAATCGTTATTTCTCCTTAAAATAAATTTCGATTTTTCGTTCAAAAGAAACACATGCGGGATAATTTTCAAATGTCGTTCTACTTCTTTCTTTTGTACACAGTTCTTTTTTCTCATTTTTTTCTCTCTTTCTCATTGTTAACATCATATGACTATTCTATTCACGACCTAAAATTATTGTAAATATATGTGTATAGACAAATGTAAAGGCATAAATGTATGACAGCGCAAGTGTCCCTAGGGGGACATAGCGCTTTAAATTGAAATAAAATAAAGAAGAATTACTTTTTGTGTATATCTATATAAAAGTATAACGAATCTAAAGTTTTGCGGAGGAGCCTCTTTTATTATACTTTTGCAAGCTTTCGAACCTTTCGGTTCTTCCACAGGCGTGGCTAGTATGACTACACTAACAGGGTATAAGCGCGCTTGAGCCATTATATACAACATATAAATTTACATGCGGAGTGATATTTCAAACGTAATAAAATAGAAATAGGAACTATGACTATAAAAATAAAACTATGTAAATGAACTTATAGATTTTTAAAATTTAGATGAAATTATGGCAAAAACTTTTAAATACGATAAAAGTTAAGTAAAATAATGATATTCACTGTATGTAAGCCGTGTGACACTTTAAAATTTCGTAACATTTAAAACCAGTAAAATTTTAAAACATCTCAACACAGAAAAACCAAGCTGGGGTCCACTCCTCCCGACCACACACCCGAGTGTATCACGGTATAACTATTGAGATATTATATGATATATTTCCGGTAGATCTATTTTCCTATTTATGCTGTTTGTTTGTGTTGATATGATGGATTCCAGTACCAATCTGTGCTGCTTATTGTTTATGTGCTGATATAGGATTTTAGGATGATCTAAGTTGAAGTTATGGCCTGTGTTTGAAATATGTTGGTATATAAGTGATTTCGGGTCTCTATTGTTTATGTTTCGTTTGTGTTCGGTGATTCTGATGTACGCGGTTCTGCCAGTCTCTCCCACATAGGAGGCTGGGCAATCCTGGCAAGAAACCGCGTATACTGCTCCGGTGGAGTGGATGGGATTGTTGGGTGCGTCTGCTTTGGTGATAGGATTCCTGAGGAGGGCAGCAAGATTGGGAGGGCTGTTAAAATAAACCTGAATACCATAAGGGCGAAGGATTCTGGAAATGGCAACAGAGAACGAGGAATATGGAAGATAGCAGACTGCTCTATAAGTCGTGGAGGTCCTCGGAGCAGTGGGATCAAACGTGTGTCTATCTATGAATTTTCTTGGGTATCCTGCAGTGGTTAGAAGGGTGGTAATTCTGTTTTTTTCTATGGCTTTGAATATAGGCAATGAGCAATGCGTATGTATTCTTTTGGTTAAAGTCCTGACTGTATTTACTTTATAGGCTACCGGGCTATTGGAGGAGAAATGGGTGTATAGGGGTGGGATATTCTTTTTGTAATAAACTGCTGTGTGCAATCTATGTGGAGTGCGGATAATAAGGATGTCCAGAAATGGCAATACTAGGTTTGTTTCTGTTTCGTATGTGAATTTGATGTCTGCGTGAAAGGAATGTAGAGTGTTAAGAATAGGTTGGAGCTCATTCGGTTTGATTACACAGAAGATGTCGTCCACATACCTTGGACCCCAGCTTGGTTTTTCTGTGTTGAGATGTTTTAAAATTTTACTGGTTTTAAATGTTACGAAATTTTAAAGTGTCACACGGCTTACATACAGTGAATATCATTATTTTACTTAACTTTTATCGTATTTAAAAGTTTTTGCCATAATTTCATCTAAATTTTAAAAATCTATAAGTTCATTTACATAGTTTTATTTTTATAGTCATAGTTCCTATTTCTATTTTATTACGTTTGAAATATCACTCCGCATGTAAATTTATATGTTGTATATAATGGCTCAAGCGCGCTTATACCCTGTTAGTGTAGTCATACTAGCCACGCCTGTGGAAGAACCGAAAGGTTCGAAAGCTTGCAAAAGTATAATAAAAGAGGCTCCTCCGCAAAACTTTAGATTCGTTATACTTTTATACTAATTATACGGAGTTTACCTGTAGAATATATCTATATATATAATTGCCTTATTCTGTCTGAAGCTCACGGATAGAATGCGCGCCCATTGGCTGCCGGCGAACACGTGTCCTCCCTGCCCCCCTCTAGACAACCCTGTTATCAGCTGTGTGATACATACACCTGTCTATAGCGGCCATTCTAGACAACCCTGTTATCAGCAGTGTGTTACATCCACCTGTCTATACAGACTACCCTGTCTATAGCGACCACTGACCACCCTGCCTATAGCGACCACTCTAGACAACCCTGTTATCAGCTGTGTGATACATCCACCTGTCTTTACAGACCACCCTGTCTATAGCGGCCACTCTAGACAACCCTGTTATTAGCTGTGTGATACATCCACCTGTCTATACAGTCCACCCTGTCTATAGCGGTCACTTTAGGCAACCCTGTTATCATCAGTGTGTTACATTCACCTGTCTATACAGACCACCCTGTCTATAGCGGTCACCTTAGGCAACCCTGTTATCAGCAGTGTGATACATACACCTGTCTATACAGACCACCCTGTCTATAGCGACCACCCAAGACAACGTTTTTAAAATATATTCGCACTCGGGTAAAACCCGGGCGTTGCCCGGGCCATTCGTCTAGTACTTATATAATAGTTTTTAGAATTAAAAGACATTTTTCAACCAGTAAATCTTTTTTATACTCTCAACGTTTCGACAAAAATATTTTGTCTTTGTCAAATGCATTGATTTTTATTTGTTTCTGACGAGGACAAAATATTTTTGTCGAAACGTCGAGAAAGATTTACTGGCCGAAGTATCTTTAATTCTAAGAACTATGAACGTCGACAAGGCACAACCTCTATCTTCATTATACTTATGTAACACAAAGCAATATATCCTTTTATTTTATATAATACTTATGTAAAAAGAAGTTTTATTAGTCATAATTGTAGTAAAGTATTTATTATTTTATTAACAGATTATTAATTGAGAAAAAGGGCATTTCCTGATTGTGCAACTAAAATTTTCTGATGGCTTGCGCCATCATAAATTTACATTTCTACTATTTTTCACATTGATTGGCGTTCTCACGCCCTTTCGGTCTAAATACCTGTTTCATGGTTTTTCAAGATGCCCCAAAGACCACCTTTTTTGGTCGTTGAGATACAGTCTGCACCACGCTGACGAGGGCCAACAGCCCGAAACGCGTACTTGGTTAGCTTTTCTTGAATAATCAAGAAACGGTATTTGGCCAATTCTAGAATATTTAAAAATCAACGATTAGTTGATATTTATTCCGATAGATGGCGCAGGCCATCAGCAAATTTAGTTGCACGATCAGAAAATGCCCTTTTTCTCTATTTATCCACTTGATCCAAGTACAAATGGCATATCCACCAGCAATGAATGCTATAGTAAAAATCAAGTCACCTAATCAACTATCATTCAACTTTAATTGATCCCTTGGGGTATCGAATTGAAAATGTCAGGCTGTATATATGTGCGCATGCTGACAAAAGTCACTAATACGGATTATCTAACAAAAATGCAATTTACTAGGGCCTAAAGTAAATGTAACTTAATACACAGAAAAGAGTACACTTAAGAGTACAATATCAACAACAAAAAGGAAGTAAATAAAACTCACGATTTGTAAATTAAAAAAAAAAAAACAGTACTTATCTTTATTGTAGCGTTGGTAGGGATCGGACCGGGGTCACACAGGTATGCGAAGAGATCACCAGACATGGATAAATCACTCAGAGAACACTTTAAGCGTTTCCACGCCAATTCTCCTCGCTCTGGGCCCCCCTCGCATTCCCTTAGTCCCCTCTTATATACAGACATGGCCACATTTGTCCAATGAAAAGGCGTGAGAGATTGGTTCACTAACAACCGAAAACAACATTCTTCCCGCTAAAAACTGATCAGAAAAAGTGCAAATGTTTGTCGAAATAATTTGACAATGCAAAAAAAAGCAAATACAAATTACATTTATATGTACATTACAAATGACATTTATTGAACGGATCTTTTGATCTTCTGGATCGTGTGGATTCAGATCAGTGAAATAAGCCACAACACCAGTTTTCGAAAATTCAGACAACAGCCTGTATGCCATGGTGTCGGACTATGGCTGTAATCAGTCTACGATTTCATAGCATCCTTCGGGAGAAGTATGCAAATAGGATTTTGATCGAGTTTGTCCAGGTGGGTCCTATTTCTAAATTACATGTTGCAATTCAAAACATACTTCTTATACAATCCCGTTTAAAACGTTTTTCCTTTTGGTCATTATTTACACTCATGGACAGAACTTAAGGAAGTGGAATATTTTTGATGTCATCAGTGATCTGCTTTTTCTTTTTTTAATAGGCAGGTGCAATTTTGTTCATACTTGGTTATCTCGTGTCTTCAATAAAGATCACTGTGTATCAAATATCTTTCAGAGTTATTGTCTGAATCCGTATATACGAGTACATGCTAAAAGGTACAACTTCCTTAAGTTTTTTCAATGTAAAAATAGCAGATATATAAGCGGGGGGGAACTTCAATTCGAAAAATGCCCACACTTCCTGGTTTTGTCTAGCTATCAGGGGGACAATAAATTAACTTTTGTTCATTTACCTATTCCCAATGTGTGTGGTATTATTTTATCTAAACATTCTATCACGTCCAAGTTGTAGCATTTTCTCCTTTCTCATATTTCGATCAGCCAATTTTTCCTTGATCGCGTTGCTTACAAAGGATAGAAAGCTCGTGTCCAACCGATATAATAAAGGAGAGGGTGTATATACACTCGAATATCTCGGTAGTGACTTGCTAGTGATGTGTTACAAGTTGGTGGTGGATCCCAATAATTACTTCTCTTCTAAAATATAAATC